ACACACACACACACACGTATAAACATATATATAAATACATTTATTTATACACATATAAATACATACACATATATACATATATAAACATATATAAACACACACACACACACATACATATATATATATATATATATATATATATATATATATATATATATATATATATATATATATATATATATGTATGTATGTATGTGTATATATATACATACGCACACACACACACACACACACACACACACACACACACACACACACACACACACACACACACACACACACACACACATATATATATATATATATATATATATATATATATATATATATAGATAGATAGATAATATACATCTGTATATAATATATATGTACATATATATGTACAGACATATACATATACTCGTATACATACATATATATATACTTATATATAAACTTATATATATATATATATATATATATATATATATATATATATACATATATATATATAAGTATACATAATTATATATTATTATATATATGCATATATAAAATTATATATATGTGTGTGTGTGTGTATGTGTGTGTGTGTGTGTGTGTGTGTGTGTGTGTGTGTGTGTGTGTGTGTGTGTGTGTGTGTGTGTGTGTGTGTGTGTGTGTGTGTGTGTGCGTGTGTGTCTATATATGTACATATATTTAAAATATATACATATAATATATATACATATTCAAATGTATATACATACATACATACACATATATATACATATAGACATATACATATATACACACATACGTATACACACACACCCAAAAAAATATAATAATAAATCTGGACATCTTTTCACGCTCCTACACACACAGGCTATTTGTAGGACTATCATCCCCCTTCCCTTCCAAGATACCTATCGCCTAGAGGAGCTCATTACATTTTGGTGATGGATTACTTTCCATTGTTTAAAAAACTTTCTGATGTCATACTGAGAGGAGGAGGAGGAGGAGGAGGAGGAGGAGGAGGAGGAACAGGAGGAGGAGGAGGAGGGGGAGGAGGAGGAGGAGGAGGAGGAGGAGGAACAGGAGGGGTAGGAGGAAGAGGTAGATGAAGAGGTGGAACGGGTGGAAGTGGAGGTGGTGGTGGTGGTGGAGGAAGAGGGAGAGGGAGAGGGAGAGGGAGAGGAAGAGGAAGAGAAGGAGGTGTAGGAGGAGGAAGACGTAGAGAAGGAGGAGGAGGTGTGTGTGTGTGTGTGTGTGTGTGTGTGTGTGTGTGTGTGTGTGTGTGTGTGTGTGTGTGTGTGTGTGTGTGTGTGTGTGTGTGTGTGTGTGCGCGTGTGCGCTGGCGTGTGTATGTGTGTGTGTTCGTGCATGTAAGTGTTCATTAAAAAAAGTCCCACCAGCTCACTCGTGCTTCTGTTTATAGCTCTAGCCTTTCTAGTTCTGGTTAAACATCGTATCACCGTTCTGCGTCGCATATTTTAACGATCATTTTCCAATTTAGGCTATTTGAATTTTCTTTTTTTTTTAATACAAAAGCATACATACAAAAATAATAATGATAAAAATAAACAATAGGGAAAATAAACTTGCACTCCACATTCCGTTTCACTCCACTTTCTCCATTTCCTATTTTCACTGACAAAAAAAAGCTAAAATCCTTTCATTCAGCGAAGGAATTCCAAGCCCAAGTCTTACGGTGAGATTAGCTACACGCTCTCGCCACGGTGACGCGAACTCATATGACACTTTTTTTTCTCTCTCTTTTTTAACTCCCGCAATCGATTCGTGTTGGATTCGCTCCGTTCACTGTGGTGACACGGGTGAATTTGATGGGAAAAAATGAAGGAAATTATTGGGAGAAGAAAGGTAATGAGGCACATGAGAAAGCGGGATAATTAAAGGCAATAGAGATAATAAAGACGGGTATAAAAAGTCGTAAACAAAGTCAAGGAGAAACCGGAAGTGACCTTCGCGTACCTATGCAAATGAGCAGTAAATGCATCCTCGAAAGGAAGCCCAGGATCCGGTTCTCCCAGGACCAAAACAATAATCTAAGGAAGTCGACTAAAAATAGGTCCCCAGCAGGAAGGACGCCCCTTCCTCCCTCGTCAGGTCCCCGTCAGGTGTCTCCCCGGGGCACGGCCGGCGCTCACGCTCCAATAGGTCTTAACCAGCTTCCCTGCGGCTCCCTAATTCATGCCCGGCCACTTTGTGTGACTAAGAGGCAAGTTCCTCGGTCATTAACTCTAAAGCCTCCAGGGATTCGTAATTTAGACATGAGAAACTAAGCTCTAGCCTACAGTGGGTGCCCACGGGCGAGGCTGTCAAATCCCGCGAGATAATGATCCTCTTGCTATCTCCGTCCGTGAACGACAAATGTCAAGGTCATAAAGAGCATATGAAGGTCATGGAAATATCAAAGCCGCGGCAGAAGGTCCGTCACACGTTCCCCGACTCAATCAACAATTAAGTCGCCGTTTTTCTCCTTTCTCGACAAACTGCATCTGTCACGTTTACCACGCCCGCGGCCCGCAACAAATGACCAACGCCCGCAGTCCGCCCACACGATCCCACGGGCGAGAAAACATGTGGGTCTAAGAGAGCTTTCACGGCAGCACGTGCGACGCCGCCCCCTCCCTCTACCCTCCACGTCCTCTTTCAAGGACCACTAAAACCATGTACTCACAGCACGTGGCGAGAGACATGAACTTCCTTCCTGTACGGCGCGAGCCAGACCACCGGAACGTCGCGTGGGTGGAAAGCGGAGCGTGATGCCCCAACTCTCCCTGACCAGTGTCCAATGCCAGACTGTCTCTCCAAACACCTTTTCTCGACTGCTAAACTTCTATCAAGGATAATGTTAACAAAGTAAATGAACATTTTTACTTTTTTTCCATATTTTAATTTCCATCATCTATACTGTTTTATTCTTTATTCTACTTTCGCACATAAACAATTTTAGAGCCAACACGCGATACTCTCTAGAACGCAATTTCCAAAATACCCGCAACCACAAGAGTTTTTTAATGACTACATCTGTTTCGGAAAATGGCCGAGACAAGCAGCTGCAAGGAGACACTTCCTGCCAGCCGTTCGTAAAGCTTTTGACATGGAACGACATATACGAAGAAGAAAAATATGACGATGACGAAGGTGATGAAGGAAAAGAAGAAAGGAAGAAAAACAAACTAGAAAAATAAACCAAAAAATGCACCAGGAAACGAAAGAAACCGAAACGGAAGAAAAAAAAGAAAAAGGAAAGAAAAACTATAGAGACAGAATGAAGAGACAGAAGAAGAAAAAGAAGAACGAGAGGAGGAGGAAGACGAAACTTTAAGTTCCATTTCGGACACAGTTCTCTTATAAGTAATTTCATCAAATTTCTCTTTTCGTCCACATTCCCATGACCTCTTATACACACCAGCTAATGAGGATCACCTGAACGTTGATTCATGACACTAATAACACACGAGGGACGTCAACAGAAGACGCCTAATGACAGATGTTGTGTCGATCGCTTGAACTGCCTAAAGCCATTCTACTTCATTTGTATTTGGGGAAGGTTTCTCTTCGTCGGCAGCTACATATATATGGCAATTTTTAATCGTGATTTATCTTTATTCCCCTTTTTATTATGCGTTTATTATGGTCTGGACAGTGTACCGACTTAGGTACATGTTAATGTTCGTTACGAGAAAAAAGTGTGACTAATCGTCTGTAAAAAGGCTCGAGTAATTCATCTGGACATTGAACTTCTTCTGTTGGAGATATTTGTACAACTGACGCCGAGGCATATAGCGGTGCCGTCTGTTATTAGAGAACTCAACGGTTGGCACTATGACTTCCGGTTGGCTTCCGGATTCGCCGACACGTTCACGCATTGCATTCAACAGCAACAAACAAACAAAAGTGTGAACGTGACCTGTGACCAGAGAGTACAGGTTCACAGGTCGCGGTCCCGGTTGAGACCCAGGCTCTCTCGTCACGACCGACTGGCGGGGGAAATGACCAGGAGATCTGGGTTGCGACCGGGATGCCTTAATAGCCCGGTGGATGACACCCTTCCTTTCCTTCTTCCGCCCGCGCCGCCACAAACCGCCATTCCAACTTTCTCACTCTCGCCGCCAAACACTCGAAGCGTGTCGCCGTTTCTTTCATTCTTGCATTTCCTGCTGTCGGCACTGCAGATTCGCGACGCTGAACAGTTATATTTAGATCTCATTACGTGGTGTTACGTGCGGAATAACTGCTGATTCGCAGTCTATATTACGATGTAGTTCCACCGGCACGCCTGACATGCAGTAAAACAGGTGTACATAACGGCGCCACCCAAGCATACACCCACGTTCCATAGATCGTCATGTCTCTTCGCAACAGTAACTAGAATATATATGCAACGCGTGACTAATCACTATACATAGGAAATTTTCAGGAATCACCTCGATGCAGCAAAAAGATTCTTGAAACAACTTCACCGCGACGAACCGCAACGCAAAATGATCCAAGCGAAATCCGTCTCGCGATGGAATGTCGTTTCTTTCATCGCGAAGTGTTTTTTTTTCTTTCTTTAAGGGCGCGAAATGGCAGCGTCAAACAGGCAGCGGTGCGGTAACGGTCAAGACGAAGCGACGGTCGGACAGGACGTCGAGAGCGCTCCACTCCCCAAGTTCAAGGCCAAGACGCAAAGGGTGGATCACTACCGACACCCGCGTTGAGGTTTCCCACCATAACGGGACGCTCGTAAGCGTGTTCTCTACGGACCAATGTGCCTTTTGTCCAATATGCATGACAGTTGGATACACTAGCATTTAATACTTATAGAAATCTTTATTTTACTTTTTGTGTGGTCCCATTTAAAGTAATATTCAAGTATATACATTCATAACAGTCGTCATTATCATCACTATAACAGCATTAATCGTAAACACCGCAAGGAATTACAAGACCTACGAATCCAGTACAACACTTCACTCAAAACATGTTTGCTACTCAACAAAACTTATACGAAGAATTGGTTACTGTACCATGGAGTAATATTCCCTCATGGCTGCGGATGTGTAGAGGTCGTGGTAGGTGAAGAAAGTCGCGTCGTTTCCCTCGTAGGGATATAACAAACACACGAGTTAATCGAGAGGCACTGAGGGAGAAGGTGCTGCCGCTGTGGCTCCTGCAGGTGAACTGACGACGATCTGGCTTGCATGCGACTTCTCGGCTCATACACGCTCCCGCCTGGAGATGCCGAACCTTCGAGACCAGCCCGTAACTAGATTTTCCGCACGCCGACAGCCAATAGAAATCGTCTGCGCTGTGTTTCCCTGATTGTGATTGGTCGACGGAAACGCGGAGCGGTTCTGTCAGCCGCTAGAACTCATGGGCAGCGGCGCGCGTCAGATGCGTGAGCGCGTGAAAGTAGGTAACTGTGTGAGACGGCAGATGGTACGCCGGATACGACCGTAGCGGAGAGCGTGTGTGTATGAGTGTGTACACATGTGTAAGTATACGGCCGGACACGGGCGAGAGGGCGAATGGGCATCCTTAATCGCCAACGCCTACCGCCCGCGCCCCGCCCTCACTACCGGAATCGCAAGGCATGACAGCTCTCGTTACGAAGGCAGTTAAACCGAGCTATACGAGCGTGACCCGAAGACACCATAACCACCGCTTGACCACTTTTGCCCACGCGTCTGCACCCCCCCCCCGCTTCTCCCTCCAACCCCTCGCTACCACGAGAAATATAGCTTTCCATATCCGACTTTGCCAGTTTCTAAATCAACAACCCTGCCTCTTGACCAGAACATGCCTAGAGAACCCCTCGCTATGCCAGATCATTACACGTCAAGCTAGAAAGCCGCCGCGTGTTTTCCTCTTTCTAATGAAACAATAAAAAAAACGGTGATCCACATTTCCGGTGGAAACTTTGTCGTATGAAGTCAACAGATGTCAGAGCTAATCAAAGGTAACACATCACACGTCAAAAACAAATATACACAAGAAAACTCCCATAACACAAGACCCTTACAGGAAAAGAAAGCTTAATTCAATGCTTGCGGGAAATCAGTGCGCATTGATGTGTGGTCATTTCGCGCATTCAATATTTATCTAATATAAACACGTTCTCGTTTTCTGTCTACCTCCTTTCTCTTTTTGTTCTTTTCTCCTTTCTTTCTTGCAGCTAAAATATGCAAACTGAAAGCCCAAATCACATTGCCATGTGTGCAATATAAGTAGAAGAAATAATTTGCAAAAAAAAACCCTCCATTCTCCATTCTTGCAACACGGAATTGCAATACATAAATTATTCGACTTCAAATTCGTCTAACGGGATTGCATGGCAGGATGGTCATGCAGTATTAATGACAAGCTGTCACTGCCGCGGTCTTGTGGTAAATATATATATAAAAAATGTAGAAACAGTGAAGATGGTCCTAGTTCCTTAATCATTCACATTCATCATGCAGGATGGAGAAAAGGGGGAAAGAGGAGGGAAAGGATAAATAACCATGGACATAGATAAAAAGAAAAATATGTGGACAAATATAATTAAGAAATTATAGATCGATATTAATAAAAAATATATAAAATAAATGGACAACAGAAGTTATTGATAACGGACAAAAATAAAGAGGAAACAAATCTTTAAATGAGTACATATATGCAAAGACATAAATATAAATGCATAGATAGTCATATCAACAAATACGAGGGCTGTAATGCATAAAAGGATTTAGATGAATACAAACAAACAAAAAAGATGAAGGGTCCAGATGAAAACACGGCTCAAAGACAACCTAACGGCGGAGGGAAAAGTTTTAAAAGATGGTCGATAAAAAAAAAATAATAATAAATAAAATAAAATAATAAAAAAACACACGTTCGGAAATGCCTCGACTTCCCCCAACAATATTATTCCCCCTTCCTCCTCCTTTCGACGCCTATTAAATGATCAAGCACTTTCCGTATCTTCTTCGCATCTGAGAGTATTATCTCAAGAAGTATGCCCCGTGGCGGAAACGAGATAAGGCTTTAAATGCAAGATAGGGTGACGCCTCATGTGGCTGATCGACAAGGAGGAGGAGGCCTTGGGTGACGGGTGACTCTGAGGCACTGTGGCACTCCGGCTGAGACAAGGCGGCCGGAGGAGGAGGGGGGGGGTAAGGAATCGGGGAAGGCTAGTGAGGGAAAGAGAGGGTGTGTAGGAGGAAGGAAGGGAGGAGAAGAAGCGGGGAAGGGGGGAGTGGGAGGAAGGGAGATGAAGAGGAAGGGAGGTGGGATTGGTGTAAGGAAGATGGGAGAGAAGTGAGATACAGAGAAAGAAAGAAAGAAAGAAAGAAAAAAAAATAAAAGAGAGGAGAGAAGAGGAGAGGAGAGGAGAGGAGAGGAGAGTAGAGAAGAGAAACAGACAGACAGAGAAAGACCTCCAACGACGCCACTGTAGAATTCATGACGCGACGACAATGATGACGTCATCACAGACAAGAAACAAACAGGCAGCTTTCTTCTTTGCTGATGACAAGACAATGGCATTCAATTGCAGTTTAAGAGCTAATTCTATTTGTGTTCGAGATGTGATGTGGCAGAACTTGAAGAGTGACTCTTGGTCACAAAAGGTAAGTGAAGGGTGGAAAGCTGAAAAGAAAAAAAAATACTTTGTAATCAGAGAGAGAGAGAGAGAGAGAGAGAGAGAGAGAGAGAGAGAGAGAGAGAGAGAGAGGGAGAGAGGGAGAGAGAGAGAGAGAGAGATAGTAAGTGAGAGAGAGAAAGAATATGCTGAATAAACACGCATTGCACAGCTTTAAACACCCACAATCATACACCCACACAAAAGTGAAAAGATACACGAGGAGAGATCGGCGGCACGGGTGACAGATCAAGACGAAGGAGTGCCTCGACCGCCCCCCCCCCCCCCCGTCCTTCCCGTCTTGTGCAACTGATCGCTTTCCGCCGTGGTCATCCGCCATTGTTGCCCGCGCGCCGTGGTCATCCAACCGAGCCTATTAACCCCCGAGATCTCCGGAGTAATTTCACTTTATCAATTGGGATTAATTGCATCGATAAAAATGAACGTGATTGCCTGCCTTTTCAAACCTCCGCAGGGTCGAGGTAATTAATCAAAATATGATTGCCCATGATTCAGCATTTTTTTTCCTTCGTCTTCGTCAATATCTGTGGTCGAACTGGGTCACTGCGTCGACTGAAAGCGATCGAATTTTGTTTAAAGCGAGCCAAGCCGACTCAGAGACGTGGCACAGGCAGTCGGGAGGGGAAGTCGCACTGTCGAGACGAGTCATGGCTCCTAATACATCTTTGGAAATACAACTTTCTCTCGCTCTTTTTACCTCGAGTTGCGACTCCGTGTACCTTTTCTGTCTTTTTTACCTTCTCTCTCTCTCTTTCTTCCAGTCTCTCTCTCTTTCCCCGTCTCTCTCTCTCCCTCCCTGTCTCTCTCTCTCTCTCTCTCTCCTTGCCTCCCTCTCTCTCTCCCTGTCTCTCTCTCCACCCCCTCTCTCTCCTCACCCCTCTCTCTCTCTCTCTTTCCATCTCCCTTTTCCATATCCATTCATTCCCCTCCTTCTCTCTGAATACTCTCTTCTCCCTTTCTCTCTGATCTCCCTTTCCGTAACATGACGCAGCTTGTCAGTGACAACTACTGAAATACGGAGAAATTGAGGACCATTCATTTAAGGGTTTTTTTATGAGCTTAATCAGGGAAGCCCGTCTCACAGACAACAGGTTTTTTTCATATCTAGCAAAGTAATAATTAAAAATACATATCATTGCTTTTGAATGTCCATCGAGGTTATTGATCTCAACTCTCTCTCAATCTCTGTCTGTCTGTCTGTCACTTTCCGTCTGTCTATCTCGACTCTTTCTGTCTGTCACTCTCTTCCTGTTCTTGTCCCTGTTCCTGTTCCCCTCTCTCTCTCTCTCTCTCTCTCTCTCTCTCTCTCTCTCTCTCTCTCTCTCTCTCTCTCTCTCTCTCTCTCTCTCACACACACACACACCTCACTCTCTCTTTCTCTCCTTCTCAATCTCTCTTCCCGTCTTCACATCTAGTTCCCTTACGCTTTCCATCTATTTTTCTTCCCCTCCCTCCCTCCCTCCCTCCCTCTCTCCCCTCCTCCAACCCCCCAAAACAACCCATTACAAACAAGCCATAAGGTTGAATCACCCAATCTAGGCTAGTACACATATCAACCATAAAAACCCCAAACTTTTTCCGCCATACATATTCATAGAGAAGAAACTGGCCCAATTATCTCCACGCATCTTCTGCCGCCTCCTTCCCCGTCTGTCTGTCTGTGTATGTTTGTCTGTGTCTGTCTGTCTGTCTGTGTATGTTTGTCTGTGTCTGTCTGTCTAATTCTTTTTCTTTCCTCTCTCTCTCTCTCTTTCTCTCTCTCTCTCTCTCTCTCTCTCTCTCTCTCTCTCTCTCTCTCTCTCTCTCTCTCTCTTTCTCTCTCTCTCTCTCTCTCTCTCTCTCTCTCTCTCTCTCTCTCTCTCTCTCTTTCTCTCTCTCTCTCTCTCTCTCTCTCTCTCTCTCTCTCTTACAATAAATAAATAGATAAATAAGTAAAACAAACGCACTCGTACACACACACACACCTACACACACACACACACACACACACACACACACACACACACACACACACACACACACACACATACACACACACACAAATACACACACAAACACACACACACACATACACACACACACCCCACAAACACACACACAAACACACACACACACACACACACACACACATACACACACACACACACACACACACACACATAACAATTCTAACACCGGCAGCAACACCAACACGACATTCATAGCAAACAGACAAACAGACAGAGGGCACTCACAACAAATAAACACCGTCATTAAGAAATACAAGAGAGCCATCCCCACAAGCATTACCTCGAGACACTTGCAACACGCTGCAATGACAGACACATTCGTTGCAGTGTCATCGCCGCGACCAATGACCATTAATATTGCATGACACCGCTATGACAGTTCGAGAAAGGCGGGAAAATTTTTCACAGCGGATAATCTTTTTATTTGCATGACCCGTTTGGAGAAATGTAGTTTGTTATAATGTTATAGCAGTGACCATGACTTGTTGTTGT